CCCCAAACCCATCCCAGCCTCATCCCCAAACCCTTCCCAGCCCCAAACCCTTCCCAGCCCCAAACCCTTCCCAGCCCCAAACCCATCCCAGCCTGTCCCGGTCTCTCAGCACAGGCTGCCCTCAGCTCCCTGCCTCGGGCAGATCCTCACCCCCAGCTGTTCCCAGGGAATTCCCGCTGAATCTCTGTCTCTCTCTCCCGCAGTTCCCGGGATTTGATGATCTCTACTGCAAGTTCTCCTTCGTCTACGGCCAGGACTGGGTCCCCACGGCGGTACAGCCCCTGGTCCCACCCTGTCCCCCTGCTGAAATGGAATTATTTTGATATAATATATCAATATAATAATATAGAATAGTTTGTAATCATTTTTAACTGCTGTTTATATAGTGTCGTTTATCAGCATTTTATGGTTAATGCCCGAATCCCTGTGTAGATCATAGGTTTTAGTGTGAGAAATATAGTTTAGGCTCTTGCAAAATATTATTAATATTATAATTATATTAAATTATTAAATATATAAATTATAATATAACATATAGTATATATAAATCATATAAAACACATAAAAATTGTATTAAGTTATTAAATACAAAGTAAATATAATTAGTATATTATATTATATAATATAATGTATATTATATATATAGTATATATAAATAATATATAATACATAATTGCATTAAGGTATTAAATATAAAAATAAATATAATTAATATAATATAATATGATGAGATATATTAAATATACCATAATATCATTATTATATAATAATAGTTAAATTATATATACAATAATTATATTAAATATAATGGTCAGATAGATGAAATATAATATTATAATAATTACAATAAGTTATATCTTGTAATTATTATATTAAATATAATATAATAACGGTTAGGCCACAAAACAGGGCCTTGTGAAGAAATAACATCAATTTCATCTGCAGTGTGACACAGACTTTAAAAGAGACAAGAATCAAACCAAACTAAAAAATTCCCAGAACACATAAAAAAGCTCAAAAGAATGTTAAAATACATCTCATCTCCATAAATACCTTTTTAACCAAGGCAGTGAAAGTATATAAGCCAACTGATTGTGGTGGAGTGTGTGCAGGTGCTGGGCAGGTCCTTTTGTCCCTTTTGTCTCCAGTTTTAAGGGTGAAGCTCTCTGGGGGCACAGGGCACCCCCTGGTGAGCCCGGGCTCAGCCCCCGATTCCTGCAGGGCCTGGAGGAGGGAATCTCCCAAATCACCTCCAAGAGCAGCAGCTCTCCCACCACGCTGGTCTGGAACTTCCCCATCGACATCACCTTCAAGAGCACCAACCCTTTTGGCTGTGAGTGCTGGGGTGGGGGCCTGGCCCCGCTGCCAAACCCCAAAGTCACCCCCGTTTCCCCGCAGGGCCACAGATCGTGCTCAGCGTCTACGGGCCCGACTTCTTCGGCCACGACGTGGTCAGGGGTTATGGAGCCGTGCACGTGCCCTTCGTGCCAGGCAGGTGAGTGCCAGCCTGACCTGCAGGACTCAAACACAGCCCTGGCTGGTTATTCTGTTGTTTCACAAATAAAAAACGTCCCAAAGATCTCCTCATCGTGTCAGTTCACGAGGATTTTCTGGCAGAGCTCTTTCATCGTCAGATTAAGTTTTGGTAATCCTGTAAAATGCCCAAACTGGCCTGTAAAATGCCCAAATGTGGAGCTCAATTGCTCACACAATAAATTCCCATTCCCACCACTAGGAATGGAGGAAAAACCTCTTGTTCCTGTGCAAACAAACCCTTTCTGTGTGAGGGGAAAGTACCTGATGTGTCAGGAATTCTGTGCCTTCATAAACCTAAAACTCCTGCTTTTTATTCATCCCTGAGGTTCTGGGGGTCTCCTCTTTGTTTCAGGCACAAAAGAACCATCGCTATGTTCGTCCCAGAGTCCAGCTCGAGGCTGCAGCAGCTCACAAGGTAATAATTAATGACTTTAATTCATTAAGGAATTAATTTCTCTCCTGTCCTTAGCCACAAAGGCATTTGCAGCCACTCAGTGGTGCAGAGGTGAGACTGCTCTGTGCCATAACCAGCTTTGTGTTCTCTAGGTAAAAATCACATTTTCAGGTGCCTGGATCTTTTGAAAAGCTTTCATAAACATACTGACAACAATATTAATTCTGTTAATATAAACATATTAATATATGATGTTGATATATAATATAACAAAAATATTAATTAACTGCTAACTGCACTAAATTACTTCCTGAATTTTCTTGGGGCTGTTTTGGAAGGACAGAAAAAACACGAAAAACATGAAAAAAACAAATCCCATTCTACATTTTTTTAAGAAATTCAAGGTCTCCAAGCTTCTCTGGGTGATCAAGAGGAATTTTTCAACAACAGCTTTGCCACAGGAAGATTCTTCTAGCCCAGGAAAAAAACTGATTTAACAAAATCCGTATGAAATCAGTTGCATTTTTTTCCTTAAGGCAAAACTTCCCTTTGATTGCAGTAGATATAAAGAGAATCAGGTTTCCAAGCCCTCCTGGCAGTCTCAATCCTGTTCACCCCGTGCCCTTCATCATCCTCAGCCCCCCAGTTCATTATTTGGTGTTTTCCCCTCCCAGCTGGTTCACAGGGAGACGCCCAGAATTCACCGACCCCAAGGTGGTGGCACAGGGAGAAGGACGGGAAGGTGAGTCCTGGCAGCTCCTGCCTGCTAAAAAAAGAGCTCCACAATTAATCCCAAACCCCTTTTTTAACTGGATTCACCCCCATCCTGTCTGTGCCAGTGACCAGGGTGCGATCCCAAGGCTTTGTCACCGTTTCCTTCAACGTGGTGACCAAAGATCTGCACAAGCTGGGCTACGACGTCGGCCCTGCCGAGGGACCCAGCCCAGAGGAGCTCCACAGGTTCTGAGCTCCCCAGCACGTGCTCAAAGCTCTTTGGGCCTTTTTTGGGGAAAGGAGGAGCTGCTTCAACTCAATCATCCCAAAAAACACCAGCCCAGGAGGATTTGGGAAAATGACCAAGCCTAATCCTCTCAGTGAGGTTGAAGCGTGGTAGAAATTGATGTTATTGGTAGCATTCTGTGTTTTATTGATAACATCCAGTGTTTTATTGATAACATCCAGTGTTTTATTGATAACATTCTGTGGGTTTAGGGGTCAGACTAAAGCATGTAAAAAAGTATTTTTATAGTAGCCTTTTATACAGCTTTTTATAGAATTAATGACGTGGAAAGTTTCAAGCTGTAGCAGTTTCCCTGCAATTAAAACTTTGCAAACCAAATTTCTTTTTAGTGTTTTTTTTTCTGTTTGTTTGTTTGGGGGTTTTTTTTGGGTTATTTTTTTTGTGTTGCAAGTGAGGAATTGAAATTATTTCACCTCCCAAAAATAGTCCTGTGAAATGCATCCTCCCTCTAAGTTCTTTTAGGCTGAATAAAACTCTGTTGTGTCAATAGATTCATTTGTCTTTCTGCTGCTAAAAGGGTTTATTTGCTTGTGCCAGGATGTTTTTAAGGCCTAAATCATCCAAGCTCTGCTAGACTGAAAGGTAGAAGAGAAAAAGAAATGTTTCAATGCAGTGACTAATTGCTGAGTCATTTTCCTATAGAATTTTGGACATGTAACCTCTTGTGTTTGACTGCAAATCCCAGCAGAGCGACACCACCTCCCTAAAAGGGAACTACCAACACCTCCAGGTGTAGAAATCCCGGGAAAAAACACCCAGGGATGAACCACAAACCCTCCAGGACACAGCTCACCAAAACACCCAGGCAGAGATTGTTCTTACCCTCAGTGGGATGGAATAAATTTAATTTCTGGAAATTAATGAATGTGAATGAGAAATAAATGAAGTGGTCACTGGAACCTTGCTGGGAGCAGCAGCATCTTTCATACAACATAGAAACACTTCTCTAAATATAATTTTAGGGATAATTTTTCATCTCCTGCCTTGGTTTTTGTTGACTCCACACTTGCAGTGGAGTTGTTTTGGTAATTTGTAATCTCTGAACTGAGTCACATTGGAATCCAAATTCAGAAGCATTTCCTGTTGGCTCAGAGGAGACTCCAGGAATTTTTTTGCCTCCCAAGCCCTTCGAACACAGATATTTATCCTGCTACTGGATTTGAGCGCTTCCCAAACTTCTGAAAAGGAAAACACTGAACCTCCTGCTGCTGCCTAAAGACCCAATTTCCCCTGGAGCACAGTTCCTGCCCACAGGGGATTTATTCACACCCAGCTCTGCATCCTGGTGCTCCTGAATTCCTCCTGTTCCAAAGGAGCTGTGGATGTTCAACCCCAGTGGGACCAAGCAGACCTGGGGCAGCTCCCCCTGACAGCTGAGGGGAAGGGAGGTTAAAAACAGTGAAAATCAAAAATCCTGAACTCTGTAAAACAAGGATTGAAGACACCCTGAGGTGTTTGAGCTGCTCTCTAAGCAGATCCCACACTGCTACCTGCTTTATTAGGGCTTTTTGCCTATTTTCTCTGGGTTTAGTTGGATTTTGGGAGGGGTTTTGGGCTCCTCAATGGCTGGAGCACATCTGAGAGCTTCACCCACCTTCCTCAAGGGCTGGGCAGGCTCCTGCAGTTCCTGTGAGCGTTTCCCCCAGGGGCTGATGTTTGGAATCAGCGCTTCCCAAGCCCAAATGCCATTCCTGGAGGGGCAGCTGTTGATATCCCTCAGAAACTTCTCCCAGAAATGGCCTTGCTGCTGCCTTCATCGTTTCCTGGTGAAATCTTTGCTCCTCAGGTGTGGCAGAGTGTTTTATCTCAATAAAGATGGGCACGACGCCGTGAGCAGGGAGCGGTGACAAGGAGGGGATTTTGGATCCCTCATTGCTCATGGAAGTTAAACCCTAGAAGAACCAGTGCTTTAAAACAGCCAAATCCCAGTAAAACCCAGCAGCAGGGGCTCCTGGTGATTTCCTCTCTGGAACACCCTGCTCCTTTCCTGGTTAATCATTCTCCCTTCTCCTCAAAGCTGCACTGAAATTCCCAACCCCAACAACAGCAGCACGAGGCTCTCACTGGAGCTCTGCTGAAATCTCTCCCAGACAGAGAAATTGGTCTTTATCCCCCGAATTCCAGAAGGGCGGGGGAAAAAAATCTTCCTGGAGATGGAGTCCCGACACAGGAGAGGCTCCATCACAAACCAGGGAGGCTGGGAGATGTTTGGGGTCTCTGCAGCTCTCCCGGCCTGGAGAGGCTTTGGATTCAGTCCGTGGGAATTTTCCTGCTCTTACCCAGGGAGGGAGACAGCCAGGGACGGGCTGAACAGCAGCCTGGGGATCAAACCCTCCAGAAAAAAGGAAAATCATTGGGATAACCCTTAGGAATCGGTATTTTCCGCCTTTCCTAACAAAACGAGAAGCGGCAGCAGCGGCTCCTGCCCTCTCGCGGCTGTTCCCAACATTTAGGAAAACGCTGGAAGTGATTAATAACAATTAACTCCGAGGCTGAACGAAGAATTCCGTATTTTTCCCGTTCCTCCATGGAAATCGCTCGGTGGCTGCCCTGGCACTGCCCCCTGTCCCCAGAGCAGGGGCAAAGGCGTCCCGGGGCTGCTCCGCGGGGATCTGAGCATCCCCCGGCGCTGGGGGAGCGGCTCTGGCCCGAGGCTGCTCCACAGCAGCACTTCTGCGGCAGCTGGGAACCATCCCCATCTGAAAATGAGATGGATCCGAGCTGACAGCAGCTTCTCCCCAGCAGCAGCGTCGGGAGATCTGTGAAATGCTCCAAAGGAAATAAGAATAGGAATAAAATCAAGCGCTCAAGCACGGAGCAACCACGTTTGAAGAAAAGCAGGGGTTTTCCTCCAGCTCTTGACGGGTTTGTAGCGTTTCCTGTCATTTGTGCCAGTGGAGATCGGTGGGGATAAAGGTCCTGGATCCTCAGCTGGACACGGATCAGGACAGGACGGGACAGCCGGGGTGGCAGCACAGAGTGGAGCATTCCCCACTGCTGGGGACCAGCAGGAACATCCAGCCCGGGCGGTTCCTTGGGGTGGCAGCGCCCTGTGGCCACAGCTGGACGGGCTGGTGGCCTTGGAGAAGGAGCCAGGACATGTCCAGGGTGCCCCTCAGATCCGAGCCCCCCGTGAGGGCACTGAGAACCCCCCAGCACCCAGCCCAAGGTCCGGGCACAGCTGGGCAGCACATCTGGAGCAGCCACCCTCTCCAGTCTGCGATGTTTTGCAGACCCCACAAAACCCAGTGAAGAGCTGGGCAAGAACCACCCCGAGCCCAGCCCTGTCCCCTCTCAACATCCATCCAGGGGATCCCTGAGGGCTTCTTCATCTCCTGAAGACTCCTCTGGGAGTGTGAGGGAGCTCAAACCGGAGTTCTGAGACACTCGTGGGGATTTGCAAACCCAGGAGCCACCTCCACTTTTGGGAGTAAAATCTCCCAAACCCGCAATTCCCGCACGGGCTGCAGAGCTCTGGGACCCTGCAGTGCATCCCCGCGGGGGCTGGGGAGCACAGGACAGCACAGATCCCTCAGAAGCCATCCTTTGGGCAGGGAAAGCAGGGCTGAGCCCTCGGGAGGGAGGGAATAACACATTCCCAGGGGGATCTGAGGGATCCGTCCTTCAGAGCGAGGAGCAGCAGACGCACGGAACTGCTGAAGGCGCCTATTTTTGGCTCCCTATTCAGGCCAGGATATTTAAGTACCCAAATTCACCTCAGAGAATATCACCAACTCCATTTAGTGCCAGACTTGCTGATGAAGACATTCAAAAAGCAGAAAAATCCCCACCACCATCACCCAGCACAACCCCAGACAGCCCATGGGCTCCAGGGCTGCTACAGCGCAGCAGAGCTGGCTCCCCGGAGCTTGGAAAATCCAAGAATTTCACTCCATGGCCAGAAAAAGCCCTTTAGGAAGAAGGCAGACCTGATTTTCACAGGTTCCAGGGAAAGAAGGACACAAAGGTGTCTGATGATTTTCCATCGCACGCTTTACCCGAGGTGGTTCAGCCGCGGCGCTGAGGAGAATTCCCAGGAGGGTTCGGGGGTGGATGGGTGGGATCGGGAGGGTTGGGAATGGATGGGTGGGATCGGGAATGGATGGATGGGAAGGATGGGTGGGATCAGCCCACGCTGGGTCAGGGTCCTGTGGAGGATCCTCACCTCCATCCGCTGCAGCCCGGCGGGTGCTGATCCCGCAGGAGCCGGGACAGGGGTGGATTCACTCGGGAAAGTGAAATCCCACATCCCTGCTCCAGCAACGTTCCCCTGGCTCGGATGGAGCTCTGATCCAGCCTCCAGCAGTTAAACAGAAGCCAGGATGGCATTCCTGCCTGCCAGGATCAGGCTGCAGAGCTGGCAGCAGCAGTGTCCCAGCGAGGTTTCCTGCCGGGAAGCAACGGGCAGGGAGCTGGGAAGACAAACCCCACCTTTGCTCCGGCTTTATCCGGGTGGTCTGAGGGGTCATTGATTTTCCTTCGCCTGGAATGGGAACGTGTTTGCTCAACGAGTGCCAAGAGCAGCTCGGGCAGAGCGATGGACACAGGTGACCCTGGAATGCTTTGGACAAAGGTCTGGAGTGACAGGACACCGGGAATGGCTTCCCACTGCCTGAGGGCAGGGATAGCTGGGATATCGGGAAGGAATTGTTCCCTGGCACAGGGTGGATCCCTGGAAGTGTCCAAGGTCCATCTGGACAGGATTTGGAACAACCTGGGATAGTGGAAGATGTCCCTGCAGGGGATGGGATTTTCTTTAATCTCTCAGGGAGTTTTCCCAAAACCGTGAGGGTCCCACAGCTCAGTCCAGGTCTGGGACAGCTCCGGGCTCTCCCTGCACAGCCCAGGATGTGCCCCAGGGTATTCCCCACTCCCCCATTCCTCATTTACCACCTCCCCATTCCCTGTGGATCACCAGACCCTGCCAATGAACCTCCCTCATGGCAACTGGCACCAAGGGGAACTTCCCACTCCTTGGCTTCAACAATTCCAGGGTGCAGCCACTCACCAGAAAACAGAATCGCCACCACCACATCCCACCCTGGCTCTTCACCATTCCAAATCCCGAGCTCCCAGACAAATGCAACTCATCAACAGGGAAAAGGTGACCTGGGAAGCGCTTGACAGTTGAAAAAGATGGAAGTTTTGGACACGAGGGGTTCCTAAATCCCGCTGGTTCCCTGAAATGCAGCTTGCAGGGTGCTGCAGAGCAAGGGGGGGGCCCAGCCCCTTCCTCACAGTTCCACGGAAAGCAGCAGAAGGGGCAGAGCTGCACAAAGAGGCAACACAAACCTCAGCAAAACCTTCAGCAGCAGCAGCAGCAGCGTGGGTGAGGGGAAGCCAAAAGATAAATCCTTATCCAGAGCCCTTTTCCTCTGCAGGGCAGGAAAACCCTTCTGACTCCTCAGGAGAGGAAGAGGAAATGTGGGATGGGAGAGCAGCTCTGCAAGGTCAGCAGAAAGCTCGAGCACAGGCACAGCTCTGCTCACCATGGGCTGGGGCAGCTCGGGCTGCCCTGGCTCACACAGGCACTGGGACCCACTGGAACCCACCAGGAGCCACTGGAACCCACCAGGGACCCACTGGGATCCACCGGGACCCATCGGGACCCAGCTCCTCTGGAAGAGATCAGTCACCCCAGTTCCCACTCTGAGCCATTCAACACCTTCCATACAGCAGATTTAGCTTTAAATGTGCAATTCCAAGAGGGAATCAGAGAATGCCAGAATGGTTTGGGTTGGGAGGGACCTTAAAGCCCATCCAGTTCCAATCCCAACACCTCCCACTATCCCAGGGTGCTCCAAGCCCTGTCCAGCCCGGCCTTGGACATTTCCAGTGGTCCAGGAGCAGCCAGAGCTTCTCCAGGGAAGTTGGGGCGTTCCTGGGGCAGCAGCTGCCCCCAGCACCCCCGGCTGAAACCAAACCAGAGCCTTTTCCCCCCAAAGGCGCCTTTCCCACCTCCAGCCCCGCCGCAGCTCCAGCGTTAATTAGCGCTCATTGATTAGTGATCAGCCTGATTGGCAGCAACCTAACCAGGGAACCTGGAGGGGCTCTGGAGAGGCAGCTCCTGCTGGAGCCTGCTAATGAAGTGCCCTTCAATTAGAGCAGCCAGAATTAGAAGGCTGGGAGTCGCTTCCAGGCTGGGAGCGCTGGCGCGTGATGAGTGGGACGGAGCCCAGGCCGAGCTGCAGAGCTCTCCTGGGAAGGGAGAACTCCCCAGGTCCTGTCCCAGCTCCCCAACCCTCCTTCCACAGCCTCCTTCCCTGGATTCCTGCCAGGACACACATCCAGAGCCTCCAGCGGGGCTGTTCCAGCGATTTAAAGAAGGAGCTCAGTCACCTGCAACACAACAAATCTTCATTTTTATTGAGTCAGTAAGGTCTCAGCTGAGCCTGGTTTCAGTGAGCCATAGAAACCCTCACTCTCCCACCGGGAAAAGGCATGGATGCATCCAAGGAATCCACAGCACCCCTCAAAGCCGGGAGATCCCTCCTGCCACAAAGCTTCCACCAGCTCACCCCAAACCCATCACCTTCCTGCAAAACTCCACTGAGCAGGGCTTGGGTGGGAAGGGGACAACAAACACCAGGCAGAAGCTTGGAAAAAGCGACACAGCTGGAATAGAAGCAATACAATTTTAATTCTGACCAGTCACCTCCAAACCCCTCGTCTTTCCACTGTTCTGATGGCATCGTTTAAATATCACATCTGTGACATCGCTTTTTTGGGGGGGGGGAAGAAAAAAAAATGACACAAAGATACAGACATTATGATACAATAGTACAAATGATAAATTATTTATACAGTAAATAATGGCAATAGTCAGCACAAATCCAGAAAAAAAAAAAACAAAGCAGCCGGGCTCCCAGGATTATGAGAAGTTTGGGAAATATTGGAAGGCTTGGAAGGGAAGAGTTGTGTGAGATTCTGCTGGGAAAAAAAGAGATCTCCTGTTTCTCCCCACCTGTGCAATATCCAGGCAGGGAGCACACCTCCAACTGGAACAGCCAAGGGGCACAAGGGGAACGAGAGCTGTCGTGGCCACGGGACTTGCCAAAAACTCTGACCACCACAACCCACCAGGGCTTCCCTTCCCTGCCCCCTCTAGAGAATAAAACTGAATAAATAACTGAGTTTATCTGGGGGGGGAATTATGCCAAGGAGTGTGTGTGTGTGTGTGTGTGTGTTAATTTTATTTTTTTTTTATTTTTTTACAAGATATTTAACACTTTTCTCTTTGGTCAATTTGACCAGTAAGGCTATTTTAGGCTACTAATGTTTTAAAAATCAACAAAAGAAAAAAAAAAAAAAAAAAAAAGCACTTGGAATATTTGCAAAGTGAGAAAAAGAAAGAGGAGAGGGGGGAAATGGGGCAGAGGGGATTCAATGGGACACAGAAACGTCCTCCAGAAATGTGGGAGGGCCAGGAGGGAGGGAGGATTATCCTGGAGAGCAGGAAAATCATCACAAAATGAGCTGGACCATTCAGAGCATCCCCAGACAGCGAGCAGCCTGTGTCACCTCTTGAGGACACAGCCCAGCCCAGGAACATTTACCAAACCAGCTCTTTCTCCTCCTAAACTCAGCTCCTGCCACAAGCCCTGTGCCAGGCTGGGATCTGGGCTTGCTTAGTCTCAGCTTAAACGTTTCCAGCACCACAATTTGGGTTGTGGCTTCTCAGGGAGTCTCCTCGGGGTTTGTTGTGCCATAAATGTCTCTGTTTAGTATAAAAGGGATAAAGTTCTGGGGGCTTGGGAGGAAAAGCAACAATTTGCCATTCAACAGCTTCATCAGGCCAGGGCTCCCTCCCAGAGCCAGAGCTTCAGCAATTCACAGGGACAGCTCCAACTGCAGAGGATTTCAGCATTTGATATTTCTTATCAACCTCATCTTGCCCCTAAGAAGTTCCCCAGGACGTGGCCAGGACTCTCGGCTGGAGAGACAATGCCCCATCCCGAGTGAGCTCAGCTCCAGTGCTGAGTAAATCCCAGTGGGAAGCGAGCCCTGGAGGAATCCTGGCACAGATCAGCTGGAATCATTTCCCCCCACACTGCAAGAATCACCCCCTTCCTCCTCCACACTCTTCAGTAACAACAGAAAAAGGCTTTTCCCTGCTCTGAAAGGCAACATCAATGGGGTTTGGTTTTGTTTTAAGGACAGGCTGGGTGTGGACAGCAATCCTCTTCCCTCCTCTACAAAAACAAGGATTGGGAATGCTCCTTGAGGATCCCAGAGGATCCAACACCTGCACAGGAACATCCTCACATTGAGCATTCCCTGCACTACCAGAGCTCCCCTGACCCACACAGCTCCAGTCTGGGATTGTGTCCCTGAATCTGATCATCCTTCATGGATCCCAGTCCTTCCACGGGATCCAGCCCCTCTCTGGCCCCACAGGGAATTGTTCCACCACAACACAACTCTGGAAAATTCTGTTTTACCCCTCTAAGGAAAGGCACCGAGTCCGTTCAGAGGTGCCCTGCAAGCAGGAAAAATCCCTTTGCGTGGATTTTTGGGAGAGCAGAGCTCAGCCCCCTCCAGCAGAACCCCTGAGCGTGGTGAGGAGTCCAGACATGGAAATTTATTAAAAAGGGATAATTCAGCTCCCAAGGGATTGCTGGACATGGAAGCAGTCATCCTACAGAGTGCACCTTCCAACAGGAAATATCAGTGGATAAAATGAAACAAGCTGTGTTTGTACATCAGGATTTTGAACAGCTCCACACGTTTTACAAGGAAAATAAAACCAAACAGCCTCTCTTGGGACCTTCATCAAGGCTAAAAGTCTGGGGATTGGGAAATGGGAACAAATCAAGGGAAAGGCGACTTTAGTGTTTTTTCTTTTTAATGTAGTCTTAAATCATGTTATGCTCAAATTCAATTCATCTAAAAATAATTAGTCACGAGGATTTGTTTTTGATTTGCATTATGAATACTTCATTTAAAAGTAAATATTTTAGTGTTAATCTTCCCTTTTAAACTCTCTTTACAGACACAAAGAGCTAAAACCATAAATAAGAGGGCATTAAAACCATAAAAATGACATTTGCCAATATCTTAATTTTTCAGCCAGACTTGATAAATCTATCAAAACCAGACAGTTAAATAAGAACCACATTATAAAAATTAGCAAAAAAAGGACTATTAGGTAACTCTGCAAACTCAAAATATGAAACTGTACTAAACAAAATATGTGCAAAAGTATACAAGAGTAACTGCATATAGCAAGGTTAAGCCTGAATTAGTTTTAAAGCTTGCCCCGGTGAAACTGAATTCAAAGTTGTCCCACTGTATTTCTCTTTTTTTTTTGCTTTTCTTTTTTTTTTTTTCTCTTTTTTTTTTTCTTTTTTTTCCTTTCAACTCACATTGTAAGTCAAATAAAAACAAAATACACATGAAAAAACTTCCAAACGAAGCTGGTACTGGACAAGCACAGAGCAGGACACTCACTCAGCACGAGTGCAGCCACTCACAGAGAGTTCCAGGAGTCCTTAGAGTAGTGTAGGAATTCAACACTGCACACGACAGCACGACTCGAGCATGGTCTTGGGTGTTTTGTCTGGGGTTTTGTGTTATTTTCCTTTCGAGACAAGCTTGCTGTTGTCAGTCACACCTCAGAGATACCAAAGCAGTGCAGAGTTTGCAATGTTTAATGCATAAAAACCAAGCCCCCCTGGGCCCTCCGGGTCGGTCTCTTCTAAGAGTAAGGACTATGGGTGAACCAACAGTCTAGAACTGTGTGTAGTTATGTGCAAAACATTCACTAGCACTCGGAATCTCAGCTCTATCTTACTGGCAGAGGAAGTGACAGATGCAGGGGAAGAGTAAATTCAGGAATCCAGCACATGATCTGACATCTACAAAACAGCCAAGGGAGTTTTCCGATGGCGGCTTCTCCCCCTAGGAAGTGTGTTTGAAATGATTAACAAAGTAACAAAAATGGGCAGGATCTAACTTTGGTGGAAAAGTCTGAACATTTCACATGATGCTCAACAAGCCAAAGTAAGGTACCATCTGTAGCAAAGACTAGATTTAGATTAACTGGTAAGTAGAGACAACTCTTCAAAGATCATAACTGTAAACTGCAAATCTACTTCCAAGTCTCTCACACACCGTTCAGTCCACACAGGCCACGTTCGTTTCGCTGGAAAGACTTCAGCCTGGAAACACTAGGAAAAGAAAAGTTCCTTTAATTGGGTCTTTATAGGAGGAAAGGGTTAGTTGTATTTGCAGCCTGGGAGGCTGCTGGTGGCATTCCTGTACTGTGCAGAGCTTGGGGCATTGATCCTGCAATGCTCAGCCCCTGGCCCATCCTGATGGTGCCCATGGCCGGCAGCGGTGCCATCCCCACGGGCACGGGGGCCATGGAAGACAGAGGTATTGGCTCCATGCTCATCGGGGGCACGGCGCTGAAGGAGGGGCTGCTGCCCATCACGGGACTCGCTCTCATCTGGTTCAGGGTCAGTGGCTGAGGCTGGTTCACCTGGAAGGGGTTGATCGGAGTCGCTGTGGTAGCGGCGCCTGGGCGGGAGAGAAGGGAAGAGACAGAGGCGCTGCCATCAGCACCAGGGGCTGGAATCGTCTCTCCTGGCATCCCCATGCCCAAAACACCCTGTGGAGCACCTGCCCCCCCAGCACAGCACAGTCTGTTCCCCTGGAGCAGCCAATGCCTCCAGCACCCCTTCACTGACCCACAGCTCCCCCCTCTCACAGCCCTGACCGCAGGCAGAGGTTCTCAATTTGGTTACCTGCAAAAGCCCTCCACATCCACAGCACTGATTTGATTTCTTGAACGCTACTTTGCAGGCTCTCCTTTACTGCAGAGAGTGAGTTTACATCGGATACCGGGGAGAAATCCTTCCCTGGGAGAGTGGGGAGGCTCTGGCACGGATTCCCAGAGAAGCTGGGGCTGCCCCTGGATCCCTGGAAGTGCCCAAGGCCAGGCTGGACAGGGCTTGGAGCAGCCTGGGATAGGGAAAGGTGTCCCTGGCCATGGCAGGGATGGTTTTTAAGGTCCCTGCTAAACCACCCTGGCATTCTGTGATCTGCACGTTTGCTCCAAGCTCTCAGCAGCCACCTCCATTTTCATGTTTCTGGCACCGAGCTCGGACAAGAATTCCCAAAGTAAACAACTTGTTTCCGAATTACAGCGGTGCTCAAAAAAGCAGAGCACAACTTTCCCAGCCTTTGAGGTTCCCTGGATAGCTGCCAGCCCTGCAAATTCCTTTTGCTGCACAAGCCCAGGATTATTTGGATGGCCCAGTGACCCCTCACAAACTTTCTGTAGTACCCGGGAAGGGCAGATACACAGATTTCCTCTCTCCCTGCTCACTGCCAAGGCTGCTCAGAATCACTGCTTTTTTCCTACTCAAGGGTTTTAATAAATTTACTTTTTCTTCCATTGAAAGAGTGATGAAAATAAATACTCAAAGAGCATTTCCAAGTGTTTAACCCTGTGAGCAACACAAGAAAATGTCAGTGCAAATTCATCTTTTAAAAAAACACATCTGCCACATGTTTGGTGTCACCATTTCAGTCTGCTCCAAGCAAGGGATCACTTTTAACAGGCCCAGCTTGCAGGAGAACTGCAACAGCCATTTTTTTTTTTCCAAAATACACTGAGAATGTGTTTTCAGATCAAAACTGGCTCACTGTGCCAGCCTAGGACAGACTAGCCAGCAGCTCACTGAATTACCCTGCAGTTCGCTCTCTGGGACCTCAGGCTGCAGTCAGAGATCTCCTGTGCCTGCTGCAGCTCCAGGAAAAGGACAATTCCAACCTTCTTCCACAGGAAACTCCTACCTGTTACCTTCCCAAGGCAATCTTACCTGTTTTGACAAAATCCAGCTGAAGTTTAGCTATTTGTAACAACCCCAAACCTCCTAACACAGATAATTCTGGGTGAGGGGAACTGCAGGAATAAAGTTCAGCTGCAGACCCTCTCGAGAGCAGAGACTCCGTGTTCTCAGGGACTGTCACTGTGCTGGGTGAGCCCAGGATGCCTCTCTGAGAGCCTCCTGCTCTTGCTCACCATCTGTTGGCCAACGCAACCGAGAAAACCAAGCCCAAATCTTTAACCCCAACAGCACTGAGCAGTTCAGGGTTTTCCTGCAGGAAGGGAAAGCTCAAACAGAAACGTGAGGAGTTGTGCAGAAACCAACCTGGTGCCAAGAATGGGTTCAGAGAAGTAACAGGTTGTGGTGGTTTAGACACCAGAGAATCCAGGTTCACCAGGGCAGCGTTGGGGCCCAGGAAGGACTCCGGGGTTTTCCGGGCCGTGCTTTGTTTGCCTGATGTCCCACTCGAGTGCTGGGACTCAAAGAGATCAGGACTCGTGGTACCGCTGTGCTGAGATGGCAGAGTGGAACCTGATTCAGCTGCAACAACACAAAGGGACAAACAGAGCTCCTGGTTAATCCACACAGGCAGGCACAGAGGGAAGGCTCAAGTGTGTGAGAGCAGAAATGCTTTTTGCTAAGTCTGTGTTAGTCAGGCTCAGTGTTTCAGGCTGTTACACCCTCTCAGCATGCAAGCAGGTCAGTGTTCTCTAGCAGAGCATGAAGAAGCTACAAGGCAGAGTTGCAGCGCTCTACTGATGGAATTCCCACAGCTCTGCTGCTCCAGGTGGGACTCACAGGCTCCAAGGAACAGATACTCCAAAGCCCTGGCTTGTGTCCTGGTCCTACACCACTGCTGTGCCCTTCCTGGCTGGATCCACCCAGGGTTTTCTTCTCAAAAAGCCCAGCTGTGCTTCAGGCAGAACCATCCTGAGAGCAATGCTACCACAGCACTGCCAGCTTTGATTTACTGACCACTGACCAGAGGAAAAATAGATCAGAGTATTCATAGAAGGTATTTTCTCATCTTCCTACTGGAATTTATGCATTTGAGAGATTCAGCATGGTTCTGGTTGAGTCTCTGAGCATAAGCCCTGCTCCAAACGTGTTGGACATTGGAAATTAAGAAGTCCAACAAATTTCTGGGTCACTGCAGCAAAAGGTCACACGGTGCAGTTCCATGGATTACAAAAGGCCCATTCCCCACGAGTTCATGCACAGGCCAAAATGTGAACAAGGAGCTTTTACTGCTGCATCATCACTTCCTTCCCTTTGTGAAAACTGATTTTTTTGTTCAATAAAATTTAAGAACAGAGACATTTGTTGCTGTGACTGTCACCCAACCTGTCCACATGCTAAGAATTTGATTCGTACCTGGCTTTTTGGAAGTTCGAAGTGTGTCAAATTCAGAAAAATCATCTTTAACTGTACCATTCAAATTACTGAAGAGGTCAAAAGATGTACTTCCTGTTCAAAACAACAAGACAGCCCTGTCATTAACACATCTTTGGATGCATCACACAGCTGATCCTCCTGGAAGCAATTCCTAACCCATTCCTGTTACCAAGAAGCCACCACAGGTTCCAGGGCAGCAGATGGGAGTGCTCCTACTCTGAGCCAGGAGCTGGGAGGAGGAGAAATGTCACAGAATTGTCCTTTCTGGAACAACTAAATCAGAGCAGTTTGCTTTTGGATCAGTGTAGGGCACACCTGAGCATGCTGGGGTTTGGTTGATTGAGTGTCTGCATTAGAGACAAGCAGATCTCGCTGTGGAAGGAGAGAACAGAAATGGATTTACAGCCTCAATTATCAAGTGTTAATTTGCCCTCAAGGAAAACACCACCAGTGATGATTTCACTTCTGCATCCCAAGTGGAAAGGAGGAGGAACACCAGAGCAAAGGTTGTGGAGATGGTGAAGCCCCGTTAGCTGAAGCACCAGCGCTCGCCCAGAGTTTGAGATCAATGGAACATCACCCTTGCAACGCTCTTACCTCGGACTGGAGGCAGAAAAATCACACCTGAACGATCAGCAATCACACTCCTGAACAGCTTTAAGGCTTGTGTGAGTATTTTTAATTAGCTGAAATGTTTTCTTAATTTACTTTTAACCTTCAACACATTTCAAGAAAGAAGAGCTCAACATGACAAACCCCAAGAGAAGGAGTGAAAACTGAATATAAAAACAATATTTATCAAGAACAAAGAGCCACCATAGCTAAAGGCTCGTTTCACAGTGCTCCAGTTATTGCCCTTTGCCCAGGGAAAAGCTGCTTTGACAACTTTTTGCAGCGCTCAGATTGCTTTGTCTGTTGTGTACTGGGATGAATGACGAGCAGAAAATGCATTTTGGATGCTTTTAGCCACGGTGCCAATATGAAAATGCCAGGTATTAACACTCATCAAGGTTGCATTAGTTACAGAGCATGAACAGACAATTACAGCAGCACCTTCTGCATCTTTACCAGGGCTCAGGGAGGGTTTCACACCCTCGCTCTGAAGGAACAAACCTTCATTTGCACCTCTAAAAGTCTCCTCCGAGCTGCTCAACCTGTCAATCTCCATCTGCAGAGACATCCATCTGCAGAGCTGTTTATCATGAGGAAAGGTGAAATTAGAGTATCATTCATTGTCAGAAATTAAGTCCTTGTCTAATTAAAGATAAAACCCAAGAGCAGCAGCAGTCCCAAGTACTCAGCAGGCAGCCACAAATACCAGGAGGAGACGCAGAAGGGACAGAGCAGGAAGCAGCACCACGAATTCAGAGCTTTAATTCCGAATAATTACATTTAAATTTCTTTTTCCTGCTGGTTCTTACAAGTCTCTTTTATTTTGAAGACCAATTCTGCTAATTGTTCCGCTTCTTTGAACCACACAATGCAAGTAAATAATTTGGACTTCTCCTCATTACTCAAATAAGTTGGATATGGGATGAGACCGTTGCTCACCAGAAGTAGAGAGAGGTTTGTTTGCAGGTGCTGATCCCCAAGGATCCACAGAAGATTTTGCTGCAGTAGAAGATGGCTGAGCAGGAGCCCAAGGGTCCACGTTTTTGGCCAGAGGCTGAGCTGTGGATCCTGCTGGTGCTGCCCAAGGGTCAACAGAAGCAGCTGGTTTGGCACCTGCAAGAAGAATCAGCAGGAAGAGAAGTCAGTGCAGCTTCCCTCTGGAAAGCTTTCCTTGGAGACTGACCCCTCCCAGGGATTTATCTTTTACTCCCAACTGATCCTGGGATAAATGGGAGCAACAGCAGCTCCCAGCTTTTGTCACACTCTGAGCAACAACAGCACCAGGAAATTCTGAGCACGGCACAGGAATAAACAACTCCCCTCTCTGAACCTGAATACAAATACCTGCAGTTCCACCAAGAAAATAAACCTGCTGCCTTTGTTCCTGACATTGCCACCACGAGTGACAATCCCTGGCTGCAGGTGACCTAAATCACAGGCTCTATTTATGAACTCGGGGGAAAGTGAGTTTATAAAAAGCCCAAAGGTAAAAGGTGTGAGACACACAACATTAACCCTTGGACAAAGGAATCTGTAAGATTCAAAGGGAATGTTTTCCTACTCTTTTAACCACACTGCTATTTTATAAAAATATAATCAGCTTCCCTGAGCCAGCTGTGCTTTTTTATTCCCATTTCTAAGCACTCCTGACACACATCTAAGCTGCCCACTGATACCTTTATTTTCTTTTTAACCCAATGACTGTATGTTCAGGGTTCTCATTTTTACTGGAAGATGCTGACAACTCCTCATTTCTACAAATTCAATCACCAAAGGTTTAATTCCCAAATGAGGATTTTATAACCCAAGAGAACAGGACAGCATCACCCACACACAACAACTCTTTACCTTCAATATCCTGTGGGTTTCAAGTTACAACTGAGAATTATTTTAGCTTTTGAAACTCCATTTAACCCCCCTGGCATCTCAGTATTCCTGTAAATCAACAGAGTGCTGCACACAGTGGCACAAATTCCAGCTGGAATTTTGGGTTTTGTTTTATCAGCAGGCACGTGGTCACTACAGCTCTGGAGCAGGAAATGCCAAAACTCTCCAAGGAAGGCCCATTATTCCCACACCAGTACTTCCATTTCCTTTATCTGCCCCCAGAGCTGAGTTAGGAGCAATGCCACACTAATGACAGCATTTCCCATCAACAGCAGCTTCCCAAAATGTCCTTTCTTTCCTAAAAGGAGCACCCTGAGAGCCCTCAGGAAAATCCCTTCCCGGAGCTTCCATCAGCCCCACAGAAACCGGCAGGATTTGGGAAATGCAGTTTCATGAGTCATTTTTTTAATTCATAAACTTGCATCTTTGAGATATTCCTGGGAGAATCCAGCAGGCAGGGCTTGTGCTGTGGTGTAAGAAAGTTGGGAAGCACCGAGGAAACGCCACGGCTGGAACTGGTACAAGGAAAATCCTGTCAGAGGGTGACACATCAGGCAGGAGATTTGAGGAAAGTGGATTTTGGTTGCTTTAAGCCATGGAAAAATAAACTGAATGGCCTCAGGGCCCAAAATCTGGGCTTTTTCTCAGTTTCTATCACCAAAAAAAACCAGGTGACACTTGGAATGATGACCTGGCAGCTGGCCCAGGAGTTTTGTAGGTGCTTTTAATGCCATCATAAGCAGGGGGAAAAACCCCAAACAAGGCATTTCATTATTAAACTTCCAAATTTTCATCAGGAATCTGATGGTGGTGTGTGGAATGCAAATGACTTTGAGGAACTTTAGAGCAGAGGTTGTAGAATCACCAGCCCGAAGCAGAACTGACAACAAAGCTGTCAATCCTCATGGAAAAGATTCCCTTTGCACAGGAACAACCTGTCCTTTAAAAAAGTCAAAAATTCCAACAAAAACACAGATCCAGCTCCAGTTCCAAGTGTAACACTGTGAGGAACCAAGCAGTTTCTTATTAAAGGAGTAACTCCTTGGACAATCTGTGGCTGACCCAGACACCAGCCCACCACACAGGCAGCAACACACACACAAAAACCACACAAAAATATGGCTTAGTTGCCATTTAAAATGTGAAACACCGCATCTTTCCCTTCACAAATATTCCACGGATTTTGCATTGAATTCCTATGGAACAGTAAATATTTTAAATGGCAACCTGATTATTTTTTTTGTGTCTGCTACAAAAATCTTCATTTAAGTAATTTAATCCTATTGGTTCTGACCATACACAAACACATCACAATTCTCCACGAGCAATTCAGGATGTGATAAATTCAGACTGATGACCTTCCTAAGCTCAGCACCCTGCCTAAATATCAGATTAAATTCTGGGAATAGTCTAAACCCACGGCACTGGACACAACCAGCAGTGAGACACGAGTTGGTTTTGCTGTAAAGACAACAGAAATGCCACTCTGCTCTTCCTTAGGATCCAAACTGCACACACAAAAAACCCAACTGCTTAAAAAACAACGCAACTGCCATTGGTTTCTGCTTGCAAACGAGGAATTCAGTGGAATGAATGAAAATGGACTCATACACAAGCTGGACATGGAGGAACTTTGAAATGCTCGAGGTTTAAAAGCAAAACCTTTCCAAAATCCCATTGCTGCTGGCAGTTTGCTCTCACCAAATGATTGCCAGGGGTCAGAGGCAGGGGCTGCAGCTGTGGATCCTCCCCAGGGATCCGTTTGGTTGGCAGCAGCAGCGGCGGTGGCGGTGGCAGGAGGTCCCCAGGGCTCACTTTTGGGTGGGGCCGGTGCCGAGGAGGGCAGGGCATCCATCAGGTCCAACAAAGTGGTGTGCTGAGGGCAGGAAGAAACAGAGCTTTACTCAAGAGCATTGTCAGGCTGAAGTACAAACCCGTGAAGAGTGAAGAAGTAATTATTATTATTATTGTTATTATTTTCCTTTTACGCGCCTGTATCGACTAGTTCCAAATTTAACCCACATGGAAGAAGCTTTAAGCTACACAACAAAGCAAACCCAGAAGCATAAAAGAGCTCAGTATTAAGCTAAGTTTGTGTTACTGTATTTCAGCTTTTGGCAGCATAACCGGGAATTTCTTAGGCGAAGGCACTACCTCCTTCTTTTTGGGAATTTTAATTGTGTCTCTGCGACTCTCCTCCAGAGCCATCTGTAATCTCAGATCATCTCCGCGTCTGAGGCGCTCCTCCTGCAAAGGAAATCAACACTGGTGATATAGACCATGAGCCTGCTCTGAGCTGCTGCTCCCTGCAGGGCTCCAACCCTGCCACCCTGTGCTCCACAGGGCATCTCTGGGCTGCAATCTCCACACAACATCAATGAGGGAAAGGAGTTTTCCTGTGATTCTCGCCTGGGGAGCATCCTGTGCTCACAACAACAGCCAGTTTTGCTGGTTGGAATTTACCCTGCTGTTGTTTTATTTGTTCCAAAATTAGAAACACTACAGAAATTCAAGTGAACAACCCATTTTTTAAGTCTCACGATGGTTTTTCAGCATTCAAATCACCACTGAGGGTTGTAGGGAACTCCAATTTCCCTGGCTTTTGTTCGCTTCTCTCCACGCTGGTGCAAGATCCACCAAGGGAATCAAGTCTTGCCAACTTCACGTGTAATTTGAAAGTTTAAACGTCTGTAACTACAATGTTTATGCCACATTCAACTCCTTTAAATATCTTTTCTTGCATCATGTCTCTCAGAAGTTGACTAATAGCCCAGCTGGTATTTCCCTTGTCACTTTTGAAGCTACTTCAAATGCTTAGATTCTGATTTATATTTTTGTTCCCTTTATTGCCCAATAATGATAAAGTTTATTGGGTGATAGTTTCCCTTTCCAAGCACTCATGCTTAACTTACAGCTGTAAACTAAATTGCCACAGGAAGCCTCTAAAATATTACAGGCACTCAGCATGGCTGACTGGGATTTTCACTCAGAGATGAGATTTGACTTTGTTATATATTAAAATGCAGTCATTTTATCCAAATTTACTCCAAATTCAGAATGAAGCTCCTAAGCATTAGCACAGTAACATAACACAGGTGATAGATTAGGAGTCAATTTACTTTAAACCAAGTTTTTTTTTATATTCTGGTACTTTGTGTCAGGTCACCCTCCTGTTCCAGGAACTCCCACCAAACGAACAGTTCCAAATTCCACTGGAATCAGAATCCACTGACATTAATGAAGCTTTTCAGGACCAGTCATGTTTTCAGCTCTTCCTAACTGAAAACATCTTCAGTAATGTGATGATTAACATCCTCCCACACAAAGTCTTCTCACAAAGTGACTGTCATCTTCCACTAGTCTCAACAGCTCGGAGGCTGAAGTTACTTTAAAAAGAGATTTAAAGAATAAAAATAATAATAAAAAAATAAAAAATAAAAACCAACAAACCACACACAAGATTCCACCTGGAACAAAGCCAAGCTGCCACAGAAAAT